ATATGCAGTTGCTGTGTTAATTTTCCAGAAATCGTTCTTTGATTACTTCTCCCACTAAAAGATTTTTTTTGGTCCAAATTCAATTGGTTCAAACTTCTCAAAAGACCACATTTTATCTCCTATTACCTCCTGATAAAAATCCAAGGTAAACTTTATTCTTTCATACACTTTTCAGACTCATTACCACCTCACATGTGCTCATGTCACTCTCAGACTCCTTCGTTTCAATGGAGTCTTCAGGAATCTCAGATTTCTTGAAGCCAACGGTATACTGGAGGGGGCCAGTGGAGACAAGCCCTGATTTGTAGTGTTTGCCAATAACCCTTACCATAGCAGATCTTAAGCTACTAATGTAACACCACCGATTATGAAATTGGGAAGAGATGTGCATGAAACCCATAGGATCTGGCTCCGGGACACCCCAGCAGCACTTATAATCTGGTCTGTAATCTAAAGCTTTATATATATACTGTTTTGTATAGGTTCTTCTGGTGTGTTATATATGTTTGTTCATTGCAATAAATCAGCCCTAGGAAGTGGGGCAGTCCATTCATTTCAGAGCTTTCACAGTGTATAGGGCATCCATTGTGTACTCAATAAATTCTTGGTAAGACCTGGAGAGGAGCGATAAGCAAAGCCAAAGGTGAGGGGTAGTTAAAAAGGGTATGTTCTCATCTAGGGCTGTTTAGCAAGAACAAACAAAAAGAACAATAAGGGAGCAGAATGTGGTAGAAATAAAATCAGAATGGGAGCCAGGGGATATTGGCTATGTCCCAGGTTTGCACCTATGTGATCCTTCGCAAGCCAATTCCCTTCCTGGCCCTTAAGTTTCCTCATCTGTAAAAATTAGAGGACTAGATTACCTGACTTCTAAGATACCCCTCCACTCTAATGCTCTGAGATGTGGGTTAAACTAAAAGGCAGGCAGGCCATAGTCCATTGAACCGGTAATAATAATGACAGTAATAAATTCATTTTCAGATCAGACCAGTCAACAGAGTTTAGGGCAGCAAAACTTTCTTTCAAGAAGAAACATTCTTGTAAGGTCATTCCATTCCTTTTAACTAATAATTATTCAGTGGAAAGATACAATATCCTAAAAGTTGTATCTATTTTATTCTTTCAGGAGAAAAGAGGTGTGAAAACTCACCTTATATTTGCAGCATATTCCAAGATATTTCCTAGAGTCTTTCATCCAAAAAATGTGTATTGCCTTTCTACTATGAGCTGAACACCAATAAGTGGTAAGGACTGAGTAAAAGCAAAACAGATCCAGTGTTTACCCTCATGAAACCCACCACAGTGTGGGTCAATAGCCATTTATTTCCTAATCATCTGTATCAGTGCTTTTTAACTTAAAGAGCATGAACTGCTCTGAGTTGCAGATACAAGCTATGGACCCTCTCTCTCAAAAATTGTACACAATCATAAAAACTTGAGAAGTTCAAAGGACCTTTCATATGTGGAGGTGTCCAGTACCAAAAGTTAACAACCCTGATCTGTATCTACAACTACATCTACAAAACAACAAACATATTCAAGCTCATAAAAGCCTATATTATGATTGCTATATGGTTTGTTGAGGGAGTATAACAAAGATTTCCAACAGCAACAAAATTAAAGGTCCATCATTTATAAGGTTAAGTTTTGATTATCTGAAATTTCACTCACCTACAGAATCTTATTCCAAATATTCTAGATAAGTAAGGTATGCCTAGATTATGCTGCTGCTGCTTCTTTTTTTTTGAGAGACAGGGTCTCACTCTGTTGCCCAGACTGGAGTATGGTAGCACGATCGTATTATACAGACTGGAGTGTGGTAGCATGATCATATTATACAGCTCATTGCAGCCTCATACTTCTGGGCTCAAGTGGTTCTCTTGCCTGAGCAGCTGGGACTATGGGTGTGAGCCACGATGTCCAGCTAATTAAAAAAAATTTTTTTTTGTAGAGACAAGGTCTTGCTAAGTTAGCCAGGCTGGTCTCAAACTCCTGGTCTCAAGCAATTGTCCTGTATCAGCTTCCCGAAGTGCTGGGATGGCAGGCGTGAGCCACTGCACTGGGCCAACATTTCTATTTGATCTGTCATTCCTTTGGCTAAGGCTGCTTATTAAATTAGTCTTCTTTCTTGAAAAGTCATTTGTACATGAAGGTTTACTTTCATTTCAGAACTAAATTTGCATTTCATGACTCTTCCATTTCACATTAATGATCCCAATTAATCATGACAAATTCACACACACACATCCTGAATGAACAGCTTGAACAACAGCAAAAAGCACAAAAATTCCAGAATTAGAGAGTACCGACTCCTCTCCTGGCTCTAACATTTTTTGGCAAAGTGATCCTGGACAAATCATCTCTGACCTATGTTTCTTCATTTATAAAGTGCGGGGGTAATAAGACTTACCTGAGAGGGGTGCTATGAGAAATCCATCAAACAAAATAATGTATATGAAAGTGTTTAGCTATGAAGTGGGTGAAAGGCAGTAGGTTGTTGTGAAGTTGCTCACAAAACATAAAACATTCGTGGAAGATCATATGGAGAGAGCTGCTCATATAACATCCTTAGTGTGCTATTAAAAAATTTACATCTGAAGTAAAATAAATTGTTCTTAAATCACTCAAGGAATTCTGCTTTGGTTAAGTGGTCAATAATGAAGTTTTTACACATCATAAGTTTGCAAGAGAGGCTTTGGAATTTTCAAGATGCATAAACATATTCTCAAAGCAAGAAGATGAACTACTTACAATACATTAATTTTAGTTTCAAGATGTCAAAATTCTTTTCATGCAGTCTATTTTAACTTTTTTTAACAGAGCAACAATCCTTTCACTTCCCTTGTTGAAAAGCTTTATAATGGTTAATAGGATGTACACAAGATATTTTAGGTGAATTAGTTCAACAAAACTGACAAAATGAGTGAAATCAATCATAGTACTGAGGGTTTTAGTGGAGGAAGTGTTTGCTTTTAAAGGAAGTAAATATTATAATACTCTCTAGTTTGAGAAATGTTTTCCGATCCATTCTCCACTGGAACAGCAGTGGAGATAAGCTGTGTAAAGGATAACCTTGGGATGGGGGGGTTACGTATCAAACTTGTGAAACTATGTAATATTCACTTTATTTTTTTTTTTTGCATTACTTCATTTATATTTACAATGTACATTTATATTATTTCAATAGCCAAATTTGGGACTATTTTTCCTTTAAAAATTGAATTAACTTTTTAATAATGTGGTGCCGTTGAACAAAAGATCCCTGGTACCTAGAAAAGAGTCAGAATGCAAGCCCTCTGATTTCTCAACCTCTACTATGCCAAGGCTCTGCTGGCTGCCCCAAGAAAAAGAATTAAGCTTTCATTACCTAAGTCCAAAATAGTCATCATACAAATGTCTACCACCAAAACAAACTGCAGATACTGCGATACACATTTCTCCAAGAAATTCAAATCGATTAATTGTATAAGTGTTTAAAAGTAAGGTATCCTCCATTTTAAGAAAACAATTACTATTATTCTCTAAGACCTAAATCCTTGGCCTAATCAGACATTTAATGAGTGGGAAACTTCAGACTGGAGGTTTTCTGAGAGCAGGGATAAACTCCAGAGAGGAAGGGGCAGGGAGAAGAGGGAAGACTCAATTAGAGCAATGGATGGGGGAGGTTAGGGTAGAAAGCTGAATGAATGGGTAATGAGGTCGTCTAGGGTTGGCACATGCTTTACAGACTGACCTCAGGGGGGGCACGTGGGCCGTTAAGTTGGTGCGAACTGGGTGGATGGAGAGCCCGGGATGAGGGTAACTCCAGGGCAGTCTCCAGCGTCTACCAGCAGCTGCTCACCTAGTTCTCTCCCAGTACTGCCACTAAGTAGGCAGGATTCTGAGCAACCGAGAAAGTGCGTCATGGAAAGCAGCCACTGCGGGGCCTGGGAAAGCCATCTGACCGCAGCGGCCGGGTCAGCTCCCCTCCCTCCCAAGGCCCGACCAGCACCTCACCCGCTACCAGGCGTAGACCGCGGAGGCTCCCCATGGCCGCCTACTCCGCCGACGAGTGCAGAACTTCGCCAGCAGCGGTGGCGCTGATGAGCTCAATGTCACCTAGCGCTGGAGTGGGAAGGACGCAGGCGGTGCTAGGGGACGACGCGCAGGAGACGCGGTGGGCGGGCCTGCGCCAGTGAGGGGCTTGCGGGGCGTGCGGGACGTGCGAGAAGCGCCGGAAACTGGCGGCGCCAACCTAGTGCCCCTGGCGCCGCGTTCTGAGTCAGCCTCGTGAATGGTTCTGCGGAGGGTGGTGCCGTGGCCCCTTGCCTTAGCGGATATGCATCCACGGAAATAGCTGTGTGAAATAGAAGGGAAACGTGCAACTTTCCTGAGCTGTAAACTCCCAGAATACACCAGATAAACCAGTATTCCAGTATGCCGTTCTTCCAGTGTTTTCAACGAACATATGCTTTTATCAATAAACACATAATTGGATTCAGTGCTCAGTGGCCTTATCTCGTTGGTTTTTGAGCATCCCTCAGGCTAATCTAAGAAATTAACGTGTATATTTTCCATTTGTTTTCTATTTACCTATTTTCTAAAAACATTTGATCATCTCCATCCTAAACACCTTATCCAATTCATACTCACCCACACTGCCAGAAATGCTGTTTTTTTCTTGACGTTTCTTAGTGGTCTCAAATTCTTTACAAAGACTCCTCTGAAAAGGATTAGAAAAGCCTTACTTCCCTAGATTTTTTTCAACGACCCCTTCGTAGGGGAACGACCAGGAAGTTGTTTTCCTTTTGTAAAAAGTAGAAGTGGAGTAAACAGTCCCTTCAAGTTCTGACAATCTTTGATCCATGCATCTGGCCCACTTCCAAGAGGACATGTTAAATGGGTTAGGACAGCAGGGTGACAAGTTTAGAGGTGAATGCGGACCACGTTGAAGTCAAGCCTTGCACTCAGCTTTGCTAAGGATTCCCCGGGTACTATATTTTTTTTGTCAGGCGGCTCCGCGGTCACCTTTGCTCCGCGGTGATTGGCTTGCAGCGGGGTCCTCGTGTTTGTCCAATATGGCGGCGCCCAGTGGCGGTGTGAACTGTGAGGAGTTCGCCGAGTTCCAGGTGATGGGTTTTTCCTCATGTGGCAGGCATATCCCTCCTTTTGTCCCCAGATCCTATTCCCTGCTCTGCGAGGGAGTATGAACCAGTTTTGGAAAAAGCGGGCAATTCAAACCTGTTTTCTCGAGCTATTGGAGGTCATGGGGGGCGCGGGTTTGGCCTTAGGGAGCGAGGCTGCTCAGTAGGAGGAGGGAGGAGAGGGTCATAGTTCTCCCCGCGGCTCGCAGGCCTTGACTACGAAACTCTGAGTAATCCGTGGTGGTAAAGCTCGGGATCCATGGATAAGGATAGTAACAATCTTGTAGCAATTCCCTGAACTCAGTTTTCAGCTTCTGCCATTTCTCTCTTACTTTTCTAAGTTGAGTTTTTATGGGAGAAAAAAAGGCGAAGGAGAGCTAGTTGATGAAACAAACATTTGGTACGATTTACGATTTTTGTGGGACAGAACGTTTGGAAGCTTGGAGGGAGGATTCTAGTACCTGCTCTGGTGCCACTGCCCATTAGAGAAAATGTAATATTTAAAATAAAGGTTCTGCTTTTCTATGTCCAAATACCAGAGATCTAGGGCTAATTATTAACCCGTGAATTCAAGAATAGGGATCTGGGTTTTGACCAAGTTGCTATTAAAGTTATCTGTTGTAATTCAGTCATAAATGTGCTTCTGTTTAGTTACAAAGTTGAATTCAAAAATCAAAAATCGTGATCTTAAATATGTATTGCATTATTAACTAACCAAAGATAATGAAAAATTGTGTCATTAACCTGTCTGTATTAAGATTTGTACTCTGAACGGTATGAAGGTAGTGGTATTCTTGAATACTGCCTCAGCCTCCCTGTAGGGAGGACTAACAGCACCTATCACCATGCCCAAGTAATTTTTTAAAAGAAATTTTGTAGAGACAGGGTCTCACCAAATAATCCTCCTGCCTTATCCTCCCAAAGCGTTGGGATTACAGGCGTGAACCACCTCACCCAGCCTAAAGTGTTTAAAATTTTTGCAATTTTTATTTTATCATTATAAAAATTAGATTTAGTACTTCTGGAAAATATCCTATTTCCAAATTGAAATAAAATCCAGAAAAGAGTGTTTAAAATTGAGTGTCTAGAATCCAATTTTAGCGTGCATTCAACAAGAATTTATTGAATACTGTATTAGTCTGCTTGGGCTGCCATAACAAAATACCACAGACTGGGTGGCTTAAACAATAGAGATGTATTTTTTCACAGTTATGGAGACTTGAAGTCCAAGATAAAGCTGCCATCAGTTTCTAGGCTATGCAGTTTGAATTAAGGGGGAAAAAAAGTGCCATCAGAATTAGTTATGTTAAGGCTTCTCTTCCTGGCTTGTAAATGGCTGTTTTCTCACCATGTCTTCTCTGTGTCACTATCTCTTCTTTGTGCCTATGCATAGAGGGAGAGGGATCTCTGGTATCTCTTCCCCTCTTCTTCTTCTTTTTTTTTTTTTTTTTGAGTCAGAGTCTTGCTCTATCCCCTCTATCACGGCGTGCAATGACGTGATCTTGGCTCACTGCAAATGAGGTCAAGCGATTCGCCTGCCTCAGCCTCCCAAGTAGCTGGGATTACAGGTGCACGCCACCATGCCTGGTTAATTTTTGTACTTTTAGTAGAGTGGGGGTTTCACCATGTTGACCAGGTTGGTTTCAAACTCCAGACCTCCAGTGATCCGCCTGTCTCAGCCTTCCAAAATGCTGGGATTACAGGCATGAACCGTGGCCGGGGCCTGTCTCTTCCTGTTCTTATTGGAAAACCAGTTCTATTGGATTAGGGTCCTCCCTTATGACCTCCATTTAACCTTAATTACGTACTTCAAAGCCCTATCTCCAGATGTAGTCATATTGGGGATTAGGGATTCATGAATTTTGGGGACACACAATTCAACCCATAACAAATACCTACTAGCCACCTGGCACTTGGGGAAACCCAGTGGATAGAGTATAAAACAAGGAATGTAATTAAGTAGGATTATAAAATGTAGAAAATATTTTAAAAAATGAATAAAATGCTAAGTTTAGAGAGAAACAAATCAAGAGATATAGTTGAGTCGGGCCTTTGGTAGGCAGGTACGAGGGGTATTCTAGGCAGAGGCAATAGAATAATAGACAAAAAGTTTTATGTATTTAAGGGAAATAGAAAATCAGTATTGCTAGAATATGTTATTTACATAGGGGCACATTGGGATTACACAAGATTGCAACCAGACTTGTGGAAGACCTTGTGTGTCGTGTGAGTTAGGGAGTCCTTTTTGAGCCAAGGGGTGAGATGATCAAAGAGGTGCTTTAGGAAGATTCATTACTACTGCCAGTGTCTTTGTTCAGGCTCCTATCATTTTTGGAACTAGCTTTGCAGCAGGTCTTCCTGTCTTCCAGCACTTTTTTCTCTACTATATTCCCCTTCAATCTAATTTCCATAATACTGTGGCATATGCTATTATATAGCATATGAATTTTATAATCTAAGCTATGCTTTTAAGTTTTAGGTTCGTATGACTAGATCTAAACTTCTAAACATGGCATATAAGACCTTCTAATTCAATCCCAAATTGCCTCTTGTCATATCTCTTACCATTGTCCTCATACATGTCTCTTTCTTCCTGCTCACTCCCCAGCACTTCAGCATGCATTTTTAAGTATTAGTATTTCTGTTAGGAATGTTCATTGATACACAGTTGATTTTGAATCACATTGTAATTAGGTATAGACTAAATAGGTCTTCTTCTAGCATCAATGATGGTTCCTTTTATACTTATGGGCTGCCTTCTATTCCTGTCCTTGGGGATGCTGGGTGTTAGAGGACTCTGGCAGTTGTACACAAGTTTGTGTTTTTGGCTTGGGGGAAGCACAATGGGAGCTTTGTTGTAAAAATAGAGTATGAGGAACCAGGTCTGTCTGAAAAGAGCATCATGCAAAAGGGACCTTGACTTCAAGTACCAGTGATGGTACTTCTGGGTACCATCAGGCAGAGGGAGAGGAGAGCAAAGGTTAAGAGAGTTCCATATCATTCTTTGGAGTACATTGTACTTTAGTTATATAGTAGCCCTTTTCCTACTTCTCACCCCATGTACCCTAAAAAATGTTTAGAATAATAAAACCACTTTACCTGAGAACGAATCTTAGAATAGACTGTAGTATAATTGTAGGAATAATAGAAAGTTTTCTCTATTCCTTTCCACTACTAAATATAGGCACTCCTTCAATACCTATATTGCCTTCCAAGAGGATGAGATTTTTTTACTCCACAAATTAAAGAGAAGACTTAAAATACATTTCAAGAAAAAATGCCTGAATAATTTCAGAGTCAGCCTACAATGAGAGATTCATGATATATCAAGTCTCTTCTTGTTTTGAGGAAGATGAAAGCTAAAAGAAGCTGGGGGTACTACAGAATTTATAAAGTTATCTTTGGCTATGATTTAATGTTTAGAAGCTCATGAGGGTCCTACACAAGATATAGCCTTCAGGGAACCATTGAACTGTCTGTATTTCTGTGTTATTTCTGTGGACATGTGTTGTGGTTTATTGTGTATGATGTCTATTCTGTTGAGGTGTGTCTTCTGTATATTTTCTTGGTGAATTTGTGTGGACAGGAGTGTATGCCGTTGAGGCTAGGCATCAGGTAGGTAGCAGTAATTCCTTATGAGTGATCCACATAATTCAATGGCAGCATTTTTGTGCCTGCATTCACCTTCATTTGTTCTCAATCTGTGAGGGCAGCCAGACCTTTTGCCTAGAACCTCTTGGAGTTGCCTTAAGAGCTTTGGCACTTTTTCCCCTGTGAAGAAATGTGAGCCTAGTGAGATGGTTTATAGTTCTTTTCCTTCTCCCTTTTCAATTTTGAAAGAAATCCCTTCTTGTCTCATTATACCACAAAAACACTGAGGGTCCACTATGTCTGGCATAACATTCGCTGTTCTCAACAGGTCCTGTAAATAAAAATCTAATCTCCTTTTCATAGCTCAAATGATTGAGTAAATGGCGTGCATCTACTACTTCGTCACCCGTAATTTTTTTTGCTACGATGTTTCTTTCCCCAATCATTTCGCCTCCCTTTTTTCCCTTCTCTTTAGCTTTTCTGATATCTATTCTCATCTGTGACATTTAAGAATAGCATACAGTTTTCAGCAATCCCTGTACAAGTACATTATCAGTTTAGGAATTGTCATTATATTTTCTAGAATACAGCACTGTCCAATAGGACTTTCTGTGAGGGTGGAAATGTTCTGCATTTATGTTATCTCCATATGGTAGCTACTAGCAACAGGTGGCTCTTGAATACTTGAAATGTGACTAGTGCAATTAAGGAACTGAATTTTAAATTGCATTTAATTTTAATTTAAATAATCTCATGTTGCTGGTATTTGCCATGTTGAAAGCCAAGCTGTAGATCATATATTGATAATTCTCTAGTACACAGAGAAGAATCGATATATAGTCATGCTCCACATAATGACATTTCACTCAGTGACTGACTGCATATACAATGGTGGTCCCATAAGATTATAACATATTTTTACTGTACCTTTTCTATGTGTAGATATATTTAGATACACAGGTACCACTGTGTTACAGTTGCCCACAGTATTCAGTGCACTAACCTGCTGTGTAGGTTTGTAGCCTGAGAGCAATCATCTATACTATATAGCCTAAGTGTGTAGTAGACTACGTCATCTAGGTTTGTGTAAGTACACTCTATGATGTTCACATAACAGAGTCACCCAATGACACATTTTTCAGAATGTATCCATATCATTAAGCAATACATAACTATTTGATCCACATTTGTAGGTTCCATTGGTAAGACAATATGATTGATGGACTCATTACCTAGTTTATGTGGATAAATTCCCATTGCTATGTAAGGAACTTAATAGTATGTCCAGATTGTTTTATTGGAGAGGAATCGGGCTAAAGGGATTAAGGTATAGCCATTGTTTAAACTCAAAGCTGGTTAAAGTTCAGAGTCAATAAAAATCCCAGGAAATGTCA